ATAATCAACAAATCATAGCTTCGTAAGATATCACAAAGGACATGGCGCCGCATTATTTTAGGCCACGAAAATGATGGCGTTCATACCGACCTTCTCGATGTGTGACAGCATCAATGAAAATGAATAAATGCGCTTTGTATTACTGTATTACTTGTTTCTCTATTGTCTATTGTTCTCATTACGGTCCAGCTATATATATATATATATATATATATATATATATATATATATATATATATATATATTAGGTTGGTGCAAAAATAATGACGTAATAATGTCGTTTTTGACCTTAAAAATACGTCAAAAAAACGACATTATTACGTCATTATTTTTGCACCTGTCGAAACTCCTAAATGTAGCCGTCTCTTCTACTCCAATAGCTTCGTGTCTCGCACCTCTCGCCTGTGGAACTCCATTCCCTTCTCCTGTTTCCTGTGAGCTATAATCTCCAGCTATTCAAGTGTAATGTCAATCGACATCTCCAGTTGCTTTGATCTATCCACTAGCCTCATCCTTTCTTCTATCACTCCTATCTGATCTTGCTATTTCCTGTAACCCCTTGCATCCTAGTGGCTTCCGCCTTGCTTGGGGTAAAACGCTTAAAAAATATATATATATATATATATATATATATATATATATATATATATATATATATATAGTATCGCTAGAAGATAGACGCTTCTGTGTAAGCCTTTTTTTCTGGTTAATTTAAATTACTTTTATAGTAAGGGATTATTATTATTTTTTTTTTCCATGTCTATCTTTTTAAATTTGGAATTTTAATGTAACTATAACAACAAAAAAACATTTCGATTTCATTTTTGCCTTGAAAAAGTCGGAAGACGAAACGCGTCGGCAAAATGTAAATTTTTTTTCCAATTGTCATTTGATACAAATCTGTCTTGTCCACAGAATTCATCTGGGAATTTCACTATATATATATATATCTTTATATATATATATATATATATATATATATATATATATATATATATATATCCTGATCTATATATATATATATATATATATATATATATATATATATATGTATATAAAAATACTTTTACAAACTTTGGGAGCGGGTACCTCACACCTAAACAAGGACAAAATTTCACAAAAAATGTCTGCAGATCGTTCGTTTTTGAGTTATTAAGTTTAAAGTAAGTTTACGGTAGACTGCGCGCTGGTGCCATGTGGACTAGGTATCTTGGAGATAATTTAACAGTGGCATATAGGCATATACATCCCGAATTTTGTTTAACAACTTCTGGTTCTATTCTGCCAACAGGAAGGCGATGTCTTATTTCAGCAGAATAATGCTTACCTACAGGATACCCATACTACACTACTCAACAGGTCCTGCAAAATTTCTCTTCTTCTGCGGACATATATGAGATATGATAGGGCCAGGATCGGTTTATGAACTTTTAGGCTTCCTAGGCTAATGAAAGTATGGGCTCCTTTCAGACAATAACAACGTTTATCCACTTTCGTTGATTAGACGAAAGTGGGTAAACGTTGAAAGTGGGTAAAAAATCACTTATAATCATCCATAGTTTACGTTTACTTTCACAGTTACCATTACGAATATTTTTAAGCATTCTTAAATTGAAAAGATTTGAAAAATAAACGATATCTTTACTACTGTTTATAAATACTGAGGACGAAACGCATTGGTAGATAAAATAATTTCCCACTGTCTTTATTCATTTAGTTCTTATTTATATCTGAACTTTTACTTGCACACACACACACACACACACACACACACACACACACACACACACACACACACACACACACATATATATATAATATGTAGAAAATATATAGAAAATAGGAAGGAACTGGTTAGGTAACTAATCCAAAGTCCCTTAGTATTTTAGTTATTATTTTTAAAAAATAGTGCTCGATACAAAAGTAGAGCATAAATATAATTATTAATTTAAAAATATGATTCCAAATCGCGACATAAAAAAAAAAAAATTCGCTTGAAGATGAAACATGAGACCTCTTATGTCGCGATTTGGAATCATATTTTTAAATTAATTTTTTTATATATATATATATATATATATATATATATATATATATATATATATATTAAGACATGTTTCATAGACAATTTAGGCAAGTTTTGTCAATTTATTTTTAATAGGGTCCTCTCGCAATTATGGACAAGTTTCTTAGTATTCTTATTAAAGGTAGAAAGGGAGTTACCATGTTGATACATATTCATTTTATTCCGAGCACTTTCGACATTAGCACAATGTCGTCATTAGGGTCTTGTTTTTTCTAAGACGAAAAATGGTTGTGTTCATCATTTTTCTAAGACAAAATTGTTGTGTTCATTTGAAAATTAAGCTTCAAGAATTTTTAGTTTATATTTATTATTTTCATGAAAAAGTATAGATGCATTTTTAACTAGAATTTTCCTAAATTGTTAATGCGGACACTCATGCTGTTGAAAATGTTGAAAGCTATTTGATGAATCATTTAAATGAAAATTCAACCTTCGAGACAATGTAGTCGTGGTATAGCCAACATATATATTATTTTTTTCTGTTGGCGATACAATCTCCCAATGGACATTTAAATTTATATACAATGTTGGTTTCTTCAACACATTAGGCGGTGAGAAGTCATTACAAATGATCATATTGGATATACTAAATTTAGTATAGTATATAATTAATTTTATTTTTTTTTTTTACTATGATCTGTGACGGATATATTAGTGTTTATTAGTTTTCATCATGTTTATAATTAGAAATGTATTTGATTACGATATAAAAAATTAATATATTTATATATATATATATATATATATATATATATATATATATATGATGAACTCTCCCGTCGTTTTCGACGTATGAGTCTCTTTCAATTCAGTTTTTAATCCTGTGCCTGTCCCCGTCGCCTTAACTCTCTCGCCACTGGACTTTTGGAGCGAGCATTGATTGATAAACTTCTACAACAAAAAATTCTCAAATTGCCATATTATTAAAAAACGCACTCTCTTAAATTTTCAAAAAATTCAACCTTAGCGTTGCGACTGCACGCTCCAAAAGTTTGTATCCGTTAACAATAACACATTTAAAAAAGAAAAAAATATTTCGATTCGCATTTAAGTTTTTCGTCTCGGATGCTACCTGTACTTTACTAAAAAACAAAATAATTTCCATGCCTGAGGATGACTGAATGTACAGTTGAAAGTACTTACATATTAAAAAAAGGACCTTATACAGTTTATAATTATTAAAAACAAGGATCATAACATTCATCGAGTGATTTATAGGTTAATGAAATATTGTTTGCGAAAGGATTTCGCCATTTTATATCATTAACTTTACTAATCTACTTTTTGTATGAATGATTCATTATAATATATATATTATATATATATATATATATATATATATATATATATATATATATATATGTGTGTGTGTGTGTGTGTGTGTATTATTATGAATTTCTTTCACACTCACATTTCCTATTACTATAAACGTTTCTTTTAGACGCTACAGTTGTTTGTGTCGGCTTCTCTGTTATTTTAACCAGGAAAAAAATGTCAGTAGCTGAAATTTCGTGAAGACCTTATTAATACAAAATATACCTTCCGACAAGAATTCAACCTGTATTCTTTTTTTTCCCATGGGTATAAGGTGGCAGTTTCCTCAATGAAAAAAATGAATATCCTGTCGGTGGAGGTGGTGGGGTGCATCATTTTTGTTAATAAGGACCTCTAGAGTTACGGTCTGGTTGGTATTAATTTTTAGCGTTTAAAATAATAGGTATGCCGACTCAAACACGTTTTCCCACTAAAAATAGCGTTTTAATATTATATATATATATATATATATATATATATATATATATATATATATATTCAAACAGGTTTGGTTAAATAATTTAGACATGTCTGTTTATTTTTGTTTTTAATCCTTTCAAGTCCACAAATCAATTTCTTGGTAGCCGTGGAAAATTAAGAAAAATATCAAAGTTTTCTTTCAAATAATGTTTATTCTCCCAAGTACTTTCAACCCATCTTTAGGGGGTTAATATATATATATATATATATATATATATATATATATATGTGTGTGTGTGTGTGTGTGAGTGCGTATATCTTGATAAAATAGGAAAGAACCGTTAGATTGATCCGAAGTTCTTTAGTATTTTTGTTTTTATTTTTAAAAGCCAGAGGTCGATACAATAAATAGATCCTAGATTACAATAGATACTAGATACTAACTATCGATCGGCATTTAAGCTAGCTTCTGTGGAAGGCTCTTGATTGGGCCTTCATCACAATAGCTAGGGAGGAGGAGATGCGATAGGCAACAATAAACTATAGAACTCAAAACTGATCGCTGTATTTCATTACTGCATTAATATTTACGCTTACCTTTTAAAAGTTCAACTCTACCACTCGTCCCTCCAGCCCCTCAACCTCCGGCGTCTTCCTCTTTGGGTTGAGGCGCCCACTCGGTCTGAACCGAACTCAGGGGTAGCTGTCTGCACGCTCCCTGACTACCCGTAGATTGTTCGACCGGTCACTGGCCAAGTTCCGCCTGCTGCCCACGTTGTGTTAGTTTTTAGATTCAGTAAGCGGGGTGTTGTCCATACGTTCACGGTCGATTGGGGATGTAGGCACGGCTGTGAGGGCGGGCGGCAGGAAAATTAGAATGTGGCAAACAAGGTAATAATATCTGCAGAAGCCGAACAACAATGGGTAAAATATTGATGTCTTTTATATAAGAAAACAACAGTAGAAAGAGTTTACAGAAAGGATAGAAAATCAATTAACATAAGAACAGAGGACCACTCCTCTACCATTTATACCAACAGAGAGAGGTGTGTGATTAACTCGTTCCAAATCAACTTGGGAGGATATGTGACTCGTAATTCCAGCCCTACGTGGAAGTGTAGCTTTTTAAGTGACAAACGTTAAGTTTCAGCGACTTTTCAATCCGACTGCTACAACGACGATGACATTTCTTGAAGTCCTTATCTCTGACTCGCCACTGGACCGACTCACTGCAACGACAGTCTCTCTCTCTCTCTCTCTCTCTCTCTCTCTCTCAACGTCACTCTCGTCTAACGCCCAAGACTCCTCAACTCAGCAAAACTCGCGTTCATATAGCAAACCGAATGTTATAAGCCAGGTTGTTCACGCGCTTAACACGAGTGTCGCCATAAGCAAAGTTTAAATTCAGATCTATTTCAATTCTCTTACAATTAATTAGTTCAATGTTCATTTCAATTGTCGTTTGGATGACCACATTCAGCGGATACAACTTATGTTTAGATCAGATTTCGCTTGCGGTAAACATACACTAATCTTACCTCCCCATTTTATCAAAAATATTATTTTCGTCTATTTTTTTTTTAATGACCCAAATTAAACATCGCCTCCTGCCCTTTTGCATTTGTTTATAAACAAGTCCTCGCCAACCCGATTTGAAATTTATTCTTTATCCATCAGCCGTCTCAGGTTTCATATATCATTGTTCTAGATTCTTTCCTATTAATAGCGCTGACACAGTTTGTAACTTTCACGGAAGATCGTGTTTTCCATCTTCAATCAATAAACGTTATATTTGCGTGTGTGCATTCATGTGCGCCAACCTCTCTCTGTTAGACAACCATAATTCTTCTGCCGCCTTTAATTTAAAGGCATTTTGATGTACGTAGGTCCTTACTTTCCGTACAAACAATTATTTTTTTATTTTACGGGTGACTTTCGCAGTATTTCGTAGTTAATGTCCATTATTCCTAGATTTATTGCAAGTTATAAAAATTGTTATTGTACAAAAAAAAAAAAAAAAAATAAATAAATTTCGTAGCAAAAAAAAATCACGTAAAAACAAAAAATCGACGAAAACAATCGGAGTAATGAAAACTTGGGAATCCGAAATTTCAGAATTGCGGGTCAGGATCCGACACGAAATGTTTTTAATTTGCTCACGGAGTCGGCCTGATTCCAAAATGGGAAATATGTTGGGTTACGGCCTCTCGGAGGAAAGTTGAAAAAGTGCGACACAGTGACAAACTGACATTCACATTTTATATATATATATATATATATATATATATATATACGGATTCGTTGAAAATGGGGAGTGTTAATTACATCCTAATTGAATGTGGTGAAATGTTTTGATTCTGAAATCAATTTAGCGTTTTTTTATTTCTCTCTCTCTCTCTCTCTCTGTTATACTTATCTGTTTGATTTGGCATTGTTCTCTTAACAAATCTAATTAGAGAGATCAACTTCACCAATTAATTGCAGATGCTACACAGATAAAGTGATGTAATCAGTGAATGCATTTGATTTCTCTTAATTAGAAAGACCACTTACAGAAGCGTTCACTTGAATTCAAGAAGAAAATACGTTCTATTGATAAACACTTCATTATACTGCGATATACTAGTTATAAAAAGACGAATCCCCCAAGAGCGTAAACGAAAAATAAAATGACGTATGTTCGATAAACATTTCATTATATTCCGATATCTAGTAATAAAAAGTGTCATGCGCGGTGGATAGAAAAAAAAAAAAAAAAGAAAAAAGGTATGTCCTCCGCGTAGAGAGTTGGTTTCCTCGTCGCCACTTGTTATACTGTGGCGAACGAAATTTTTTTTTTCTTCCACCGATTGAATTCGAATCTTCGTCGCCACTTTTTATGGTCCGGTTCCTTATACCACGGTGATAGTCCAAGGTAGAACCAATAAAGAAGAACTCGAACACAGGTATGGAATAACACAGATATATTACAAACAGGTATATATATACAGAGAAGTAGAAGTGTTAGTATGAATAATCAGGTTTAGTAGAGAGAACAATGTAGTCTCGACCAGTATCACTATTCCAATGTCTTGCAGTAATTGTCTGAAACGCGACTCTGTTTCGGACTATCTCTGACTCGACTTTTGACTCGACTTGTACTACTGACTCGACTTGAACTACTGACGATATTCAGTCACCCCCCCCACGATGGCGTCATGTGGCACAAGGCCGTTTTAACGTGGGCAGTCCGAGCCCGTGGGCTCGCCCCAAAAATATGCCCATTGAACCCGTATAAACGGGTTCAGGGCCGGTTTTACCTCCCCAAAAGAGGACTCCGCCCTTCGGCGTAGCCTCCTTCGGGTTCCTCCCGCCCGTAGGAAGAGAGGTGAACCGAACAGTCAGTTCAGAGTTGAACGACTGACGATATTCAGTCACCCCCCACGAGGGTGTCATGTGGCACAAGGCCTTTTTAACGTGGGCAATTCCCAAGCCATTAGGCTCGGCCAAAATATAGCCTATTTGAACCCGTATCAGACTTGAACGACTGACAATATTCAGTCACCACCCCACGAGGGTGTCATGTGGTACAAGGCCTTTTTAACGTGGGCATTCCCGAGCCATTAGGCTTGGCCAAAAATAATTTGAAATAAACGGGTTCAGGGGAATTTACCTCCCCGAAGGAGACTCCGTGAACCCGTATAAACAGTCGGTTCAGGGACCCAATATTTCACCCCCCGAGGGTGACTCCGGCCTTTTAACGTGGGCGGCGTAGCCTCCTTCGGGTATAAACGGGTTCCCGCCCCTGAAGGAAGAGAGTTTAACTGAACAGTCAGTCGGTTCAGACTTGAACGACTGACAATATTCAGTCACCCCCCCCCCCCACGAGGGTGTCATGTGGCACAAGGCCTTTTAACGTGGGCATTCCCGAGCCATTAGGCTCGGCAAAAAAAACAGCCCATTTGAACCCGTATAAACGGGTTCTGGACCGATTTTACCTCCCCGAAGGAGACTCCGCCCTTCGGCGTAGCCTCCTTCGGGTTCCTCCCGCCCGTAGGAAGAGAGTTGAACCGAACAGTCGGTTCAGAGGTGAACGACTGACAATATTCAGTCACCCCCACGAGGGTGTCATGTGGCACAAGGCCTTTTTAACGTGGGAATTCCCGAGCCATTAGGCTCGGCAAAAAATAGCCCATTTGAACCCGCATAAACGGGTTCTGGACCGGTTTACCTCCCCGAAGGAGACTCCGCCCTTCGGCGTAGCCTCCGTCGGGTTCCTCTCGCCCGTAGGAAGAGAGTTGAACCGAACAGTCAGTTCAGAGGTAAACGACTGACAATATTCAGTCACCCCCACGAGGGGTCCAAAGGCCTTTTTAACGAGGGTGTGAGCCATTAGGCACAAGGCCTTTTTAACGGGTGGGCATTCCCGAAGGAGACTCCGCCTTTCGGCCATTAGGCTCGCCCGTAGGAAAAATGAAGCAGTCAGTTCAGATTTAAACCCGCCTTTTATAAACGGGTTCTGGGAACCCGTATAAACGGGTTCTTAACCTCCCCGAAGGAGACTCCGCCCTTCGGCGTAGCCTCCTTCGGGTTCCTCTCGCCCGTAGGAAGAGAGTTGAACCGTGCAGTCAGTTCAGAGGTGAACGACTGACAATATTCAGTCACCCCCCCACGAGGGTGTCATGTGGCACAAGGCCTTTTTAACGTGGGCATTCCCGAGCCATTAGGCCCGGCCAAAAAATAGCCCATTTGAACCCGTATAAACGGATTCAGGGCCGGTTTTACCTCCCCGAAGGAGACTCCGCCCTTCGGCGTAGCCTCCTTCGGGTTCCTCTCGCCCGTAGGAAGAGAGTTGAACCGAACAGTCAGTTCAGAGGTGAACGACTGACTCCTCGCCTACTCCTGAGGCGCAGTATTTATTAAGTATGGAATAGTCCATTATTATTATTATGGTTAAGATCCCATAACAAAAAGATTAGTCCCTCAAGAACGTAAAAAAAAAAATAAATGACGTATGTTCGATAAACATTCCATTATAGTGCGATATTCTAGTCATAAAAAGATTAATCTCCCGAGAACATAAAAAGAAATAAAATGACGTATGTCCAACAAACACCTCATTATATTCCGATATTCTAGTCATAAAATGATTAATCCCCTAAGAATGTAAAATAAAATAAAATGACACATATTTTATTATACTGCGATATTCTAGTCATAAAAAGATCAATCCCCCAAGAACATGAAAATAAAATAAAATGACACATTTTCGATAAATATTCCATTATATTCAAATATTCAATTCATAAATAGATTAATCCCCAAGAACGTAAAAATAAAATGACGCATGTTCCATAAACCTTCCATTATATTACGATATTCTAGTCATAAAAAGATGAATCTCCTGAGAACATAAAAAGAAACAAAATGACGTATGTTCAATAAACATATCATTTATTCCGATATTCTACTCATGGAAAGATTTATTGGTGTATTTTCGTGAATTATTTCAGCTTTATTTAATATTCTAAATGGCATATACGACAGTGGTGACGTAAGGGAACGCCTTACTAGATGCAATTTTATAGCGCTTCCTAAGAAGTCCGGTGCAAATGAAGGCGAGCTCCCTCGGACCATCAGTTTAATGAGCTTGTTATTATTAGGATTTTGATGTAGCGGAAACGGAAATAAACCAGAAATTACGTAAGAACGCCGTGTATTCGTTGACGGCACTGCCACAGAAAATGCAGTATTTGTAGTCAAAACCTTATCAAATGCAGAAGGACGAATACGTATGTTTCATAGATTATGCAAAAGCATTTGTTAGTATCCAGCATAAAGATCTATTTGAACTGTTAGCAAAGCTCTATTGATTTAGGAAATTCTTTTCTTGTCTTTTTATGTGCCATGTCCTTTCAGGACGTAGGCGATCATAGCTCTCCACCTCCTTCTATCCCTTGCAGTTCTCAGCAAGCTCCTTTCCTCTGCTTCCCCCCCCCAGACCACGTTCTACCATCCACCTGCTCAACCTCGTCAGGCATGACACGCGCTGCTTTCCTTTGTTTCTCTTTCTCTCTATTTGACCCGTGAGTATCAGATTCTCCAGGCCCTCCTTCCACTTTATGTCTCCCAGAAACTTCAGCTGCCTCTTTTTGATGTTAAGTGATGTGTCCCGGAAAGCGATATATTTGTTCGAAGTGGCAAAGTGGTTTTGGACTACTGTAACCAGGTAGGACAATCTAGCAGGTAACCGTAATGGACTGGTCCTCGTCGTAGTGGTAGCCAATAGGCGAAGACTATAGGCGTGGCCAATAGGCGTCGTCCTGTACCTGCACATCAGTCTGTATTTATGGCTGACACCAGCCAATCATATTACTGTAAGTTCGACCCAGGTGTATTC